TGGCAATATAGCACCAAACAAAAATAAATCGAAAAGAAAGCCTGCTGGAATTCCTATCAAACAAACAGTAAATAATACCATTGTCAAGGATAATAATGATCAAAATGTTGAAACTAATGATAATGAAAAAAACGATGCAAAAACTACCACCACCATCTCAAAGTCAAATGACCATAATACAGAATATGATAGCTTATCGTCGTCGTCATCATCAATTATCGATGAAGATATCGATTTTGATTTAGTTTATTCAATGCATACATTTGAAGCTACTGTTGAAGGTCAAGCAAGTGTAGAAAAAGGTGACTCTTTAACTTTGTTGGATGATTCTAATATTTATTGGTGGTTAGTTAAATTGACAAAAAATGGAAAAACTGGTTATATACCGGCTGAAATTATCGAGGTTTTTATATAATTACCTAGATTTTTTTTATGATTGGTATATATATAATTAATAACAATTATAATAATTAAATAATTGATGGATTAGACACCATATGAAAAACTGGCAAGATTGAATAAAAATAGAAATCTTAATGTAAGCAAATAAATTAAAAGTTCAATTATATACACACACACACACACACATATATATATTATTTCAAAAATTATTAAATAAACAAATAATTTTTTTATTTTAAAAAAGTTAACTCAAAGTAATAGAGTAGATGATATAATATCCAACATAACAAAAAAAAAAAAAAAGAAAGAAACAACGAAAACTGTCACTTTCACTTCGCCATTATTTGTAGTCGCCGATGATGTTGGTGGTGATGTGTATAATGAGTATAATGATGAAGAAGTGATGGAGGGGGATATCAGCGAAAATTATGACATTCAAGAAGGAGGTGAAGGGGTCGAAGTAATTAAATGGTTTGAGGGTGTGAATGAGGGTGAAATAGATCAAGGAGGTGAAGGAGAGAAAGAGATAGATGAGACGAACTATGAACACGAAGATGGTCATGATTGTCAAGATGAATCTAAAATTGCAGTAAAAAGCGAAAATCAAATACCAGTGTCGGTGGATATTGATAATAATATTAATAATAATGTGAATCAAGTAGTAGAAATAGCAAAAGAGGAAGAAAACATGTCAAATAGTCCTCATATTGAGATTACAACACTAAAAGATAAATTTATCTCTGCCTCTAGCACCACAACCATTGGGAATTCTTCAAAAATAGAGACAGAAAATGATGTTAATAAACAAGTAGTCGACCCATCAATTAGCCATCTATTAAGTCCAGAAGTTTCTCAACAAAATAATCAACTTTCTAATAATCTACAATATAATCGCCAAAAAAATGGTGGCAATATAGCACCAAACAAAAATAAATCGAAAAGAAAGCCTGCTGGAATTCCTATCAAACAAACAGTAAATAATAACAATGTATCGCCTGCTAATCCAAATGACTCTGTACCACCTCTTTTGGGTGTCTCTAATGATCAAAACCAGGCAATCAAATTGAACCTCTCACCTACTTTAGGCAATGAATTTATGGACTTTACTGATGATGATGACGTCGAGAAAGTTAACAAAAAGTCAAACAAAAGTGCCCTTAGAGAATCTAATAGATCAACAGTCTTAAAAGTTACAGAGGGGAAAAAAGCTCAAAAAAAAGAAAAAGAAACAACATCAAGAAAAATCAAAAATATGTTTATGTTCAAGAAAATGCCATCAAAGAAAAAGGATGATGACTCTGTCAAATTAGAAACAATAAAAAAAATTTCACCATCTATGCCATCACCAACTCACATGCAAATGCATCAACAACAAAAACATCAACAACAAACAACGAAAATAAAACCACTAGATCCTCAATTGCCTCAACAACGAAAATCTAGTCATCAACGACAACAAAAAAAAAATAAGTCACCAGGTGCTTTATCTACGCAAGTCACTTGTAGACCCTCTCTTGATGTTCCAATGCAAAACCAACAAGATAATCATCTAAATGACAAACTACTACAATCATCATTATCATCTTCACTACCAACGCAAAAATCACAAATTCTTGGGAATTCATCTGCACTACCACCACTGCCATCACCAACACCGCCACTGCCACCACCAACACCACCAACACCAGCCACATTACCACCTTCTCCTAGCTATAGTATTCTTCGTATTTTCCCTGGCCAAAATCTAAAATTGAATTTTGCTTTCAAGACAGTTCCAATCAATCAATCAACAACTGCCGCTGACCTTATTAAACAAGCAATAAGCCGATTTAAAATTGATAAAGGAAAAAATTGGGAAAATTATTATATTACAATAAAACTAGCCAATGGAGGTTTGTATTCTTATAATTTATATGTGTTTTTTCTCTAATTAATTTTCATTATTCAATTTTATTTTTTTTATTTTATTTATTTTATTTAGAGGAATTAAAGTTGATGCCACATGACCATCTTCTTGAGATACATCACACATTAACTTCACTTTCAACTGCTTCATTATCAACCACAAAAAGAAGTTCCACATCATTTTCTAACACGTCAGTTCATCCGACAGTGGAAAATCTTGAAGTTGATGAAAGGTCGATTGATGTCACCTTCTACTTGAATAAAAAATCTGTTGATAGAAATAATAGCAGAATATCATCCGTTTGTGATAAGAAACTACGCTTACGCTTACGCGTTCTAATATATGCTGATGATTTGCCAGCTCATTTACGATTTAAAAGTCCCCCTTCAACACCACCTCCGTCACAAATACCAAGAAAATCCAAGTCAGTGCCAAAACATCTTATTGAAAAAACTGGCAGAAGACGCTCACATGAAAATGGAAAACCAAGGGAAAAACATTTAATTGTTGATGGTTTGGCAACTGTATATGATGTTATATCGAAATCTATGAGAAAGTTTGGCATTATTGATGGTGTTGTTGATGATGGTGAATATATAGGACGCAATGATATTGATGAAGTACCACGTTATAAACTAATGCTTAGTTCAGAAGGAAATGGTATGCTTTGGAATAATATTTTAATATTTTAATACTCGGCTATAATTATATATAATTATAGATTATAAATTATTAATTCGGATATTTTAAATTTTCTAAACAGAAAAACTATTGCATCCTAAAACAGAAATCCTGTCTGTTTATCCAACACCTCCGAATCTTATACGTTTATCAGTTGATTCATTAGATTCCAATTCTTCACTTGTACAAAATTATCTTCCGGATGAACCTACATTTGTTCTACGTCTATCAAAACCTGAAAATTGTAGAAATCTTGTGATTCCAGATATTATGCAACAATCTTCATCATCAGAAAAACAATTGAAAACAATAAATTATGAACAACAACTGCAACAGCAGCAAGTAGAAGAAGAACAAAAACAACAGCAACAGCAACAGCAACAACAGCAGCAAGAAGAAGAACAGCAACAGCAACAGCAGCAAGAAGAACAAGAACAACAACGACAACAAGAAGAAGAAGAAGAAGAAGAACAACAGCAGCAACAACAACAGCAGCAGCAGCAACAACAGCAACAAGAAGAACAACAACAAATATTGAACAACAACAAATCTTTGGATGAAAATGATGTTAATAATGAACTATTAAGGAGAAAAGAACTTATTGAAAAGCAACGTGAATACAGCAGATCCAAGCAAAAATCCATTATATCATCACATAAAAATTCTGAAAAAGGTGTTGATATTGTTACAAGTGATGGTGCAATTAGAAGTTCAAGGATTTTTGATGAGTCAAAAGTGCGTTATTCATTTATTTTAACTGACGGAGAAGAAATGGATATCAGTGATATTATTGAAGATGTTATGGGTGATGATGATATGCTTATGATAAAGCAGGATAGAGACGAAAACTCAAAAGAACAACAACATCATGATTCTAATTCATCATCATCATTATTCTCTAATGATAATAAACCATCATTATTGTTACCGCCAGGTTTTGGCAAAAAGAATCTTAATAGAAGGAGTACTACTCAAGATGTAGATGTTTTGGTAAAGATTGCAGATGGTGCCCAAAATAATGATAATAATAACATATCATGTCAGTCATTAAATAAGATTGACCTTGTGATTGAAAAAGTAAAACGTAATCCATCATACAGGTCGAGCAATTCTAAATTAAATTTAAATTCTAATACAAATCCCAATTCAAACACAAATTCAAACACAAATTCAAACACAAATTCGACAACAGCGACAATAAATCAAACCATAGAGTCAGAAAATAAGGATATAATTGTTGATTTGGTGCATAAAGCTAAAACACCATCAAAAATAAGTAGATCATCTTCAATTTCATCGGCTAGTTCAATAAATTCATTGACCAATAAACATAAGCATAAGCATAAGCATAAGCATAAACATAAGCATCATAAAATGTCAACATCAACAACATCAACAACATCAACAACAACAACTTCATCAACAACATCAACAACATCGACAACAGCAGCAAAAGCAACAGCAACAACAACAACAACAATGACAACAGCAACAGTAGCAACAGCGACAACAACATCAGCAGCATCAGCATTATTAGCATTAGCATCAGCATCACCACCGTTTTCAGATGATTTTGGTTTGGAAGAATTGTTGATGCTTGCTAGAGGTGTTAACAAGTTGGAATTAAAAGGACGTAGAAAAAGTGATTGGTATTTTAATGAAGACCCCCATAAAGTATTGGATCAACTTAAATCAATTGAAATAAAAGATAAAATTAAAGATATTTTCGCTGATATTACTCAAGAACTTGATAAAATGGATCAGGTTGGTTACTAATTTTTATTTTATTTGTACTATTTCTACGTATTATAATTTAGCTCACTCACATATTTTATTTTAGGATCTTGATAAATTACTAGCTGATACAATAAGAATTTTTTGAAACCATTTTTTAACTATTATTAATTTTGTAAATTATATAGATTTATTTATTTATTATATATTATTTATTTGAGATTAATTAACATCCAACTGCGTTGAATGTTGAATAAACCATTTTTTACAATAATGATTATAAAAATTATATATTCTGAAGAATATATTGACTCTATTCCCCTTTACTCTTAGGGAAAGCATTAAAAGAAACTAGTTTCTCAATTATGCTCACCGATCTATTCCTCTGATCAAAAGCACGGAAATAACCATAAACTCGTGGTTAAAACTCAAATTGCTAACGAACTCAGTTTTAAATTTCTCAAAATTATTTGAAGAAAATAACGATAACTTCGGAATTTATTATCATACGGCAGGAGGGTTGCGATTACGATTGATATTTAATATTAAAAGTTCTGAGCCGGGATCTTTCCAAGAAGATGCAGGTGGTGCCAGTATTTAGTCAATAATCTACTGTGTATGGTTTATATATATTAAATATCGTGTACTTTTTTTGGACGCTATTCATTAGTTACATGATATAAAATATCAAATGCGAAAGCATCTTCACTCTGTGAGACTAATTTGTATTATTTATCTACAATTATATGGTTCCACCATTATACTTATCCAGAAATTCGAGAGCATTATTCCAAGGGATAGGTAATGTGAAGCATTGAGTTTTTAACTTCTGAATTGGTTTTGAATTTTCAGGATAAGCTTCTAATACCTCAATAAAAGGGATCCCTGGGTCTTTGATTTTATCGTAATGCAAATAATAATATTTATTGCCTCGATCATCTAGTAATGATGTACAACGAAACTTTTGACTTTATTCATTGACGTAACTAAAGTATTGACTAAAGGTAGTTTCTCACCAGGGCCATTTTGACGATTTGACTAAAGTAAAAGTCCTTGACGTAAGTAAAGCATTTGTCGCAATTAAAAACATTTGACATATGTAAAAACGCTTGATACAAGTAAAAACACTTGATACAAGCAACGATAATAATAACGATAAAATGGAATTATCAAAAGTTCCAAATTATGTAAAAATGTGTCCCGGGGATGAATAAAGAAAGGATTATTATATCATTGTATGTATATTGCAATGATCCAAGAATAATTATAATGGGAATTTTGCAAATGTTGTAATTTGAATTAGAAGTTTGTTTTTTTCCGTATATTTTCTTTTAAAATAAAAATGCTTCTAAATTTATGAGTTGTGTTAAATTGATGTTTTTCGAATTTTTGACTTTTGAAGTTAACTATGCGTAATATTAATACGTAATAATATTAATAATGTGCTTGAGCTGTCTTTAGTGCGAGTTTGAAGCAACATAAGTTGACCAATACTGGTACTTAGAACGATCTTTAACAGCACATAAGACAGGTTTTGGTGCATGTTTTAATTTTGTTTTCTGTTTTTTTATCTTCAAAGAATGCTGAAATTCTTTTATTGTTGAATCACGATAGATCGGTCACTAGAGTTTAGTGATGATGAGGTTATTCTTTAAACAATGCAATTTTCACTTTTCAATTTATGTCCTTATTATTATCAATTAATTCTGTTAGAAAAAACCTAGAGGCAATCAAATAAACTAAAAAATGTTGTACGAAAAATTTGTTTGTTACCTTCGCAAAGAAAAACAAAGCTTTTAAACGAAAACGTAACAGTGAGTTTCGTGAAATAAAGATTAGTATCATATCGCAATGATGTTTTTTTGACGTCATAAAATTACATGGCTCTATCACCTACATATATATTCGTTCAGAGCAGCAAAATTAGCACTGAATGCAAAGTATCTTCTACAATGTATTCATGATCAATGATACAATCTTTAATAAAAATAGACCATTTTATGGCATTGATCGATTAGTCTAATAAATTACAACAAAAATATATAAATAGACCTTCTATCCCCATTCGTGGACCAAAAAAAACGATGTATTGGTTTTGCTTGTTACGTTGCATTCGAATTCGAGGGTCGAGGAACGTAGTGTCGAAATGGCCTTCTATGTATGATTTAGCGTTACACGCTACATTCAATGCGTGGTACCTATATATTCGTTCAGAGCATCAACATTAACCAGTCATATTAATATTTTTATTTTATTCATTGCGTTGAGCAAAAAATTTATTCATTCATTTAATATAATTACACATACAAAGGGAAATTGTTCACGAATTTAATAAATTTAATAAAAGATCCTTTGCAAAGAAGAGCCCTCACGTAAATCAAAAGTTATTTCCGAATTTCGATCAATAAAAAAAATCAAGCTTTTTTTTCTTTACAAAGATTAATCAATGATTTATTTGTTTTTCTCCGAAAGGAAATTAAAAATAAAACTTTTCCTATCCAGATCATTCACTATTTCTCAAACGGTCAAAATCAAAAAAAAATTTTGTGCATATTGGTTTGTTTAACATCAACAAAATAAAATGTAAAAAAACAAACACGATTTCCCTTTCGGTCAAATATCTGCTTGACCCTGCCGTTTTGATAAATTTTTCGATTGCCAAATAGATATCATTGGGAATGGCAATAGTAAATAGCAATGTAAAAATAATCGAACCATTTATCATTTTCGGAAAACGAAAATATTTTCAAATTTTAACAAATTAATTTCAAGCCACAGCAGCAAAAAAAAAGGAAAAAAACGACTCATTAAAAGTTTTACCCTTTGATTTTGATCTCATCCTTCCCCAACAATTCAGTTTACTAAGTTGAGCAACAAAATGTTTAGAAGATTCATGATTCGTTACCATAACTGCACTGGATTTACCGTTTCGAGTCTTAACGGATCTTCTTTACAACAGAATATTTCCTGTGTATTCAATATTGCACAAAAATCTACACGAAAATTACGACATTTAGAAAGGACCGTAACACGTCAATCTTTTTTTTATTCTCAAAAAAAAAATATCCATTCTATTCATCAAAATACCAAGTCGAATTTTATACAATGTCACATTTTAAACTATTATTATCATCATCACCAGAAAGAAAGGACTTTGTATAGTGAAATGTATAGCAATGCAGTAGTTAATTCTGATGAAGAAAGTATGAAAGATTATTTTTTTTCATTGGTCAAAAAAAACAAGGAGCTTTCTAAAAATGAAAAAGAATATTGTAAGGAAAGTTTATTTATGAATTTGAATTAAAAAATGCAAGAGACAAATTGGGCAAACCAAAAGAATGTAACAAATGTAAATTGACAAGATACTCTGATAGATTCTGTGAAGGTTGCATTAGATTACAATTACAGAGCACCACTTTGATATCTGGAAATAATATAATTGATGATTTTATTCAACAATGTCAAATGAAATCTCTCTGCCATACTATATTTTAGAATGGATACCTTTTGAGCAATTTAAAGAAGTGACAAAATTGACTGAAGGTGGATTTAGTTCAATTTATATTGCTACATGGACAAGAGGAAGTATTGTTGATTATGATGAAAATAAAAAGGAATTTAGTTATTTAGGAGCACAATATGTAGTATTAAAAAGTTTAAATGATTCAAGTAATCCAGGAAAAGGCTTTTTTGATGAGGTTGGTGGTTGTTATTTAAAACAATAATGTATAATATAATACTAATTGATTTTATTTATTCTCAGGCAGTGAATTATTGTAAAATTAAATCCCCATCAATTGTTCAGTGTTATGGTATAACTAAATTCCCAGATAATGGAAATTATGCAATAGTTTTACCTTACATTCAAGAGGGAAATTTAAGAGATTATTTGCAAAAAAATCATTTAAATTTAACATTAAAAGACAGAATTACAATCTTTTATTATTTATGTACTGCATTAGATGATATACATAAAAAAGATTTAATCCATTGTGATTTACACAGTGGCAATATATTATTGAAAGGAGGTTGTTGTTGTATTACAGATTTGGGATTATGTGGACCAGTTGATGAAAAGTCATCAAATAAAGTATATGGAATTGTATCATATGTTGCACCCGAGCTACTTAGAGGCAAAAAGAACACCAAAGAATCTGATATCTATAGTGTTGGATGTTAATGTGGGAAATATTTGCAGGCCATCCAGCATTTGATGATAGAGCTCACAATCATCATTTGATTCTTGATATATGTGAAGGTTTACGACCACCAATATTACCTGAAATGTCTGATGATTATATACAAATGACGCAGAGGTGTTGGGATGTGGATCTATCAAAAAGACCAACTAGTAGAGAGCTGCGTGATTTTGCTAAAAATAAACTTGAAGAAATTATTAATGATAATAATAGCAATAATATTACTAATTGTGGTAGTAATGCTTCGCAACAAGCACACAAATCACATCCAGAAGCATATAATACAAGTAGAATATTAGATGAAGAGATTGCTAAATCCAAAAACTTTAAAATTTATACAAGTAATGATAGTTCGTTAAATGATCTTGATTTTAATTCTTTACTCTAAAATGTTAACAAAGGTGAATAAAAATTTCTTTATTAATTAATTGGAAATTACTATCTGTTAATTATTACTAACAATATCAATTAATCAATTAAACTCTAGTAAAGCAATGAATGACTAATTTAATCACCACTATAAATTTATTATCTTCTTTTTATTTATCTTTTTTATTTTATCCTTATTTGTTTCTTGTAATAATATTTCTATAATAAACTTTTTACAATTTTTTGATTCTTGTTAAATGGTAGTATTGCAAGGTATCATTTTGGTTAATTAACAATTATGGCTCAACTTTTGGGCTACTCTTGTCAATTAATAATTCAATTAATTAGTTTACAAATTTACTTTGGTTTTCAATTACGAATCTGTGAGCACACTTAATGGTACCAGATAACTGTAATTAAATAAAGACAGCTCTTTTGCTATAAAGTTTCTTTATTCACTTTATTTCAGTCGTTTACCCTTGTTTAAAATTAAATTATTTATCGGAAGGAAACTTAAGAGAATATTTACAAAAAATTCATTCTAAATCGACATTAAAAAATAGAATTGCGATTTTTAGAT